CACTTTAAAAAGTTTATGGAAAAATTGAATTAAGAGAGGCCGGGGCGGGTCCCGGAGCTCCCAGGTGGCCGGCGGACGCGCGGGCTGACCCTGCCAAGGCTGCGGAGGGGCCAGAGCCGGTGGGACCCAGAGGCCAAGCAGGGTTTGCTCTGAAGGGAGGCTACCTGTGTCCCTTACCGCTTCCGGCTCCCAGGCGCCAGCTTAAAGTCTCACGCAAGGAAAGGGCAAAGTTAAGCATGCCAGCCCTTTACACGTCAAAGCAGAGCCAGCAGCTTCCACAGGCCCGAGTCAAGGCCGGTTTGCACAGCCCACCACGCGCCTCCTGCTTTTTCCCTCACTGCTGGGAGGATTGACTGACTCCGGGGAAACGAGGCAGGGACAGTGCTCCTGGCTCTTGGTCGCTGTCACAGGTCTGCAGGTCCTCTTGAGTACCCGGAGACCAGGGGGCCCCGGGGCGGAGGTCATGCAGGTGTGTGAGAAAGGCTTCGCAGACCACCCGACCCCCAGGCGGGAACAGCTCCTCCCTCCCCATGCACCGCTGCACTTTCACTCCAAACACCCTTCAGGCTCTTCCAAAACTTTTGGTCCAGTATAGTCACAGGGGGCTCAGGCAACCACGGGTAAGTCAAGGCTCTAAGGGCAGTCGGTGACGTTTACAGAAAAAGAGAGTTCCAGGGAAGGAGGGTTTGCAAAGAACCAGTCCCCACCCCGAATCCGGCTTGCTCGGGCAGTTCTACTCTGCTTTGGTTTCTCCTCCCTCAAGAAGCCCAGAGGCTTCAGCAACGCAACACAGACACCCTCGCCTACCTGGGGACATCCTTCAGATGGGGGGGGGGGGTCACCAGGGGGGCTTGGCCATGACCCCTCACCATCTTTGCCTCCTGAGAAGCTCCCATGTGGAGCCATCCATGGGGCCTGGGGACATTGTGGCTTTATTCCTTTCACCCCCACCTGCTGTCTTCAAAATCAGAGGGGCCAGAAGCCTGGGTCTCCACAGTAAGGAAACCTATCTAATGACTGGAGGACTGTACCAGTGCTGGCCTGAGCAGGGCACCTTCAATGTGGATGCCACTTCTGGGTTGCTCTGCAGTGACACCAAAAAGCCCTTCTCCAGCTATTCCTAATCATTACTTTCAACGAATGCTCCAACCGAGAGTTTTATCTTTGCTCACCTGATTTTGAAGTTGAAGCTTTTATCTCTGAATATGATTTTTAAAAACTGTGGTAAAAGATGCATAACATAACATTTACCATCTTAACTACCAGTAAGTGTACAGTTCAGTAGAATTAAGTATATTAGCATCATTGATCTCCAGAACTTTTTCATCTCGCAAAACTAAAACTCTGTACACATTAAACAACTCATCCCCATCCTCCCCTCCCCCAGCCCCTGGCAACCACCATTCTACTTTCTGTCTCTATGAATTTGACCTCTCTAGGTACTTGATAAGAGTGGAGTTACTCAGTACTTGTCTTTCTGTGACTGGCTTATTTTACTTAGCATAACGTCCTCACTGTTCATCTATGCTGTAGCACGTGTCAGAATTTCTTTCCTTTTTAACGCTGAATAAAATTCTGCTGTACGGCTATCACATTTCATTTGTCCATTCACCCCTCCACGGACACGTGGGTTGCTTCCACCGCCTGGCTGTAGTGAGCATTGCTGCTGTGAGCGCAGATGTGCAGGTGTCTCTTCAAGACCCTGCTTTCAGCTCTTTTGGATACATGCTCAGAAGTGGGGTTGCTGGATCATGTGGTAATTCTATTTTTAACTTTTTTATGAACCACCATACTATTTTCCATGGCAGCTGCCTCATTTTACAATCCCACCAATAGTACACAAGGCTTCTAATTCTCCACATCCTCCCCAACATGTTATTTTCCTTTTTTTTTTATTTATAGTAGACATCCTTATGGGTGTGAGGTGATATCTCATTGTGGTTTTGATTTGCATTTCCCTAATAATTAATGATATTGAGCATCTTTTCAAATTCTTGTTGGCTATTTGTGTATCATCTTTGAAGAAATGCCTATTCAAGTCCTTTGCCCATTCTTTAATTGTGTTATTTATTTTTGTTGTTGTTCAGTTGTGGGAATTCTGTATATATTCCCCATATAAGAGCTGATGGTTTAGATCAGTTGGTTAGAGTGCAGCCTTATAACACCAAGGTCACAGATTCAGATCCCTGTCTGGCCAGCTGCAAAAATAAATAAATAAATAAATAAATATAAAAATATATACATACTTATATATATGTCTATCCTGGATATTAACTCATCAGATATATGATTTGCAAATATTTTCTCCCATTTTGTATGTTGCCTTTTCATTCTGCTGATTGTGTCCTTTGATGTACAAAAGTTTTAAAGTTTGACATAGTCCCAATTATCTATTTTTACTTTTGGTGCCTGCACTTTTGGCATTATATCCTAGAAATCATTGCCAAATCCAATGCCCTGAAGCTTTTCCGCTATGCTTCCTTCTAGGAATTTTATAGTTTTAGGTCTTACACTTAGGTCTTTAATCCATTTTGAGATAATTTTTGTATATAAAGGAAGGGTCCAACTTCATTCTTTTACAGGTGGATATTCAGTTTTTCCAACACCATTTGTTGAAGCGACTGTCCTTTTCCCGTTGAATGGTCATGGCACCATTCTCAAAGGTCATTTGACCATATATGCGAGAATTTATTTCTGGCCTATCAATTCTATTCCATCGGTCTATCTTTATACGTCTCTCTTTATACATGTATTTATACGTATTTATGCCAATACACACTTTTTTGATTACTGCAGCTTTGTAATAAGTCTTGAAATTAAGAAGCATAATCCTCCAGCTTTGTTGTTCTTATTCATGATCGTTTCGTTTATCCGGGATCCCTTGAGATTCCATATGAAGTTTAGGATGGATTTTTATATCTCTACAAAAAATGCCATTGGGATTTTGATAGGGATTGCATTAAGTCTGGAGTTGCTTTGGGCAGTATTGATATCTTAACAATATTAAATCTTTCAATCCGTGAACACGGGATGTCTTTCCATTCGTGTGTGTTTTCTTTAATTCCTTTCAGCAGTGTCTTGCAGTTTGCAGTGCACAAATCTCTTACTGCCTTGGGTAAGTTAGGGTTTGCTTTCGTTTTGCTTTAGTCACCCTGCACCAGTGCTCACACTCCATCCTCACAAGGTCTGTAACAATCCCACTCAAGTCCTCCTTAGCAACTCCCATGGCCTTTATAGCATGACATAAGTTCCATTTCTGGGGATCTAACTAAGGACATCTTGTTTCTAAAGAGGAAATGCTACGTACATTCCGATCACAGTGAAAACTATAAAGAAACCGAGGAGGCCAGCAAAAAGGCAGCATGACTATTTAAATAAACTGCTCTCTACTTACCTGGAAGTTTACTCAGGAACTTAAAATAACAGGTATCAAGATTATATATTACTTGTAATATACAGGGAAAATGTACAGGAAATGCATATTAAGTGGAAAAGCAGGAACAAAAGTGGACGTTTACGCATATACAGTAAATGGAAAGAAACACATAAAAATGAAAAAGCTGTTGCATTTCCCTGAGCATACTTTAAAGCCACATTACTTTCATAATTAAAAAAAAATGTACAATAAAAAATTATACGGGCCGGCCCGGTGGTGCACTGGAGAGTGCGCCGCTTGGGAGCACGGCGGCGCTCCCGCCGAGGGTTCGGATCCCATGTGGAGACCGGTTCCCACTCACTGGCTGAGCGTGGTGCGGGCGCAACACAGAGGGTTGCGATCCCGTTACCGGTCAGTAAAAAAGACAAAAAGGAAAAAAAATAATAAAAAATAAATAAAATAAAAATAAAAAATTATACATGCTTCTGCCTCCTTCTCTCTCAATCCCTTCGTGCTCCTTGGGTCCCTGGCTCTTTGCTTCCTGGCAGCCCTCCTCTCCTCCAGCCCATGTGGGAGGATTCCTCACAAGAGGCCCCACCCTGCCCAGATCCAGACCCTTCCTGGATATTCTCCCCAGAGAAGCAGGTCACTAGCGTCTCCTTTACTCTTCGGAGCTGTGTCTGCCTCTGCAAGCCCGTATATATTTCCCTCATGTTTTCTTACACAAAAGGAGCACATTGTTCTCGGTGTTTCACAACTTACCCTTTGTATTACAGTATCTTAGAACGTCACACATAAACACACACAGACGTAGCTGGTTCTGAACTCCTGCATTCTGCCCTATCATTGGATGTGCCACAATTTCTTCAAATACACTACAGACAGCAGCCGAGGGTGCCCTCTCCGCCCAGAAGCAGGCAAGAAACAGAGCACGCCCAGGGTCCTAGGCAGGAGTCAAGGGCAGTATCCCAGCCTGGAAGCAGGCAAGGAGGACACCAAAAACACCACTTCCATATGGGTTGCCCACCACAGCCACTGCCACAGCCATGGCTGCTGCAAAAGCAGGTAGACACCACAGCAGGGGCCACAGCAGCCGTGCAGGCTGCCTGCCAGATGCTCGACTGCAGTGACTTAAGGAGGATCACCAGCGGTGATCGGAAAAAGAAGAGAACATCTCTCTCTTCAAAGCCCACTCCAGAGTAATAGAAGCAGCAGAAGCAACTGCTCTACAATGCCTCTGCTTTATTTCTGACTTTAGTGATTTCTGTCTTCTCTCTTTTTTTCTTGGTCAGACAAGATAAAAGTTTTCCAAATTTTGTTGATCTTTTTAAAGAGTCAACTTTTGGTTTTGTTGATTTTCTCTATTGTTTTTAATTCCCTATTTCATATATTCCTGTTGTAATTTTTGTTATTTACTACTTATATTTGCTTGTGGTTTAGTTTGCTCTTCTTTTTCTATTTTCTTAAAAACGACTGATTACTGACTTGAGATTTTTCTTATTTCTAAGGTAGGTGTCTACAAGTATAAATTTTCCTCTAAGCACTGCATGAGCCCTGCATCCTATAAATTTTGATATGTTGTGCTTAGGTTTTTATCACAAAGTACTAACTTCTCTGTGATTTTTCTTTTTTCCCATGGTTTATTTAGGAGAGTGTTGTTCAATTTCCACACATTTGTAAACTTCCAAATTTCCTTCTGTTATTTTGGTCAGAGACATATTTTCTATAATCTTAGTGTGTCTAAATGTATTAAGACTTGATTTGTGTCCAAAAAGAAAAAAAAAATAGACTATAGAAGGACATTTTTGATTACTTTTAGTCTTTTCTACTGTAAACAATGCTGCAGTGAATATCTTTGTGCACCCATCATGGCAAAAATTTGAGGTAGACTTAGAACAAATTCCTAGAAGTGGATAATTGAATCAAAGGGTATGTAAGTCTTGAATTTTAACAGTGACTTCCCACAGTCCTCCCGAGAAGTGACATCACTTTGCATCCCCTCGAGCAGCACATGAGAGCTGCCTGTTTGTCCAGACTCTTTCTTTAGTGGATTGAATTATGTCCCCCCAAAACTCCCTGAAGCTTGAATTGTGTCCCCCAATTTTTATGTATTAGAACTTGGCCCCCACTGTGACTGTTAAGACGGTGAGAAATCC